TCAGTCAAAGTAAAAACTAGTTCGTTTTGACCCCCCAAAATCAGACAGCCGGTCTGTACAGGGATAGGGGGAGGCGGCTTGATGCGATCCAAAAAGCGAACACTTTTTGACAGTTTCGCTTTTTGACAGGTCTCGAGCCTCGTGGGCTCTGCGATCTGAACCCTAAACCCTTACATAGTCTTTTTACGGCAGGTCGTTGGTCAGAATTTCAGGACGCAACGGTTCATTGCGTGGTACTAAATGAGTCTGCGGTCCCACGTGAGAGGCAGCTCCTCGTCCTTTCCACGTCCGATTGGTACTCAGAATTTCGGATCTGGGTCGAAAATTACAAGACTTGTATCTGCAATTCCGACTAATGACCTGGCGTGGCCTACAGAACCAGTTCCAGTGTCCGCCTATAGTAAGAGTTAAAAGAACCTCAAGGACCTGAAGGATTCCCAGCGCCCGGAGCTCACAGGAAAGTGCTGCTCCTCGGAGCCACATCTCCAACAGCGCGCCACGATGCCACCCAAAATTCCGCGCGAGACCCGGGACGGCACGGACGATCAGTCGGGGGACGAAGAACGCAATAAGAGAGACAGGGGGACTTGGAGAATGGAGGGAGTGCCACCACGCCAGAGGCCTCGAGGGAAACCGACGACGTACCGATCTGCAACGATGAGCTAAAAAATGCGGTCGTGGCCGAAGACAGCTGAAGATACTGCCGGGGGGGGGGGATCGTTACCACCCGACACGCTACCACCATTTCTGACTTCAAACAAAAACCCGTTTGTTCATTTCCCCCCCCAAAAAACATCATTCAACTTTTTCGGTTCGTGAATCTCTATCGCTGCGATGAAAGCAAGTCCGTTTTTGGATCCCGCTGGTTTCACCCCCTAGGTTCCCGAGAAACATCCGCCACCTTGAGCACACACAGCGGGGTGCGAAGGGATTTCGTGGATAATCACTAAGTGAATAATCCATGAACCCTACGGTAGGCTTCCGTAGGGAATTGAGATTACTGATTACTGAATTGATTAAAGAGGTTTCGCCGTTATTGCCTAACCCGTGCCATTACCAGACTATGATCGGTTCATGTTATACCCCGCTCAGTCTGTCTGGTTATGCCTAGGACTGACCTCGTGAAAATGGGGCAGACGAACCTCGTAATACCAATACGGCCACTAACCCAAAAACCTATCGAAAAATGATCACCACAACCTCAACCCCAAACCCTCAAAGCCTGAAACTTCATCACTGAAAAATAACCCCTGAAACCAAAACCATAAACCCTAAAACCTGAACCGAACAATAAACCCTACGCAATAACCCCTAACACCTGACCCCTAACACCTGACCCATGACAACTAACCCCAAACCCCTAAACCCTTAACCCTGAAACCTAAACCCTCAACCCAGAACCCTAAACCCTAAACCCTAAACCCTAAACCCTGAATTATATACCATAACCCCTGACCCATGCCCCCTGAACCCTAAGCCCTAAGCCCTAAGCCCCCAACCCTAAACCCTAAAACCTAGACCATGGACCCTGAACCATCCCTAAACACTAAACACTAAACACAAAACACAAAACACAAACCCCTAAACCCTGAACTCTAAACCCTCAACCCTAAACCCTAAACCCTAAGTACTAAAACCTATACCTGAACCCAAAACCCTAAACCCTGAACCCTAAACCCTAAACCCTAAACCCTAAACCCTAAACCCTAAACCCTAAACCCTAAAACCCCAAACCCTAAACCCTAAACCCTAAACCCTAGACCCTAAACCCAAAACCCAAAACCCAAAACCCTAGAAACAAAATCCTAAACCCTCAACCCTTAACCCTAAAACCCCAAACCCTAAACCCTAAACCCTAAACCCTAGACCCTAGACCCTAAACCCCAAACCCTAAACCCTAAACCCTAAACCTTGAACACTAAAATCTAAACCCTAAACTCTGAGCCCTAAACCCTAAACCTTGCACCCTAAACCCTGCACCCTAAACCCGAAATTGTAAACCCTGAACCCTGAAAACTAAACCCTAAACCCTAAACCCTAAACCCTAAACCCTAAACCCTAAACCGTAACCACTATCCCCTAACCCCTGAACCCTTACCCCTAAACCATAAACTCTAAACCATAAACCCTTGACCATAAACCCTGAACCAAGAGTATTGTACGAGCTCGTACGAGCTCGTACGACGTACTCCTGTACATGTACGGCATCAAAAATTAGCAGGACCCCGCAAGCAGAAGGTCCACATTTTACATTAAATTATTCACTCATCAACCACCTCCTCCTTCTCATCACTGATACGAAGGCTTCGTACGAAGCTTCGTACGAAGCTTCGTACAGCTCAGCAACCGCACCCTGCAGCCCCATCTCCCGCACTTTGTCCCATGCCTTGTTCACGTGTTGGAAGCGCCGTTGAGCGCGAAGCGGGGTTATTGACTGTAGAGGGACGTTTACTACAGAGGTGTGACACGTGAGGAACACAGGGACGTTTTAGGGAAAAGCAACTTCAAAAGTTGACAACAAGAAACCGGGGAGAACCGGGGGAGAAACCTGAAGACATTCTGTAGTAAACGTCACTCGCACCCTCTGTACTAAAAGTATGTCTAGAACATTCCAGAACGAATGTCTCTGTAGTAAAAGTACGTCTAGAACATTCCAGAACAATTGCTGACTCAAGCTCCCAACAACAGAGCATGTGAAGCGCTCTCTGGGCGTTGGTTCGTTCCCTGAGTTGGATTGGCGAACCGATCGGATGAGCGGTTAACCAATACAACTCCTCCCCTTTTCAAGAACCCGACCCCGCCCGGAATGATAGGTCTATATCGATGAGACCAGACTGTTAAATCTGTCAAAACTCGTGGACCTACCAAACCTCTCCTTCGTCGTTTACTTCATCCGCGCCAATCTTCGGGGAGCATCCCTCGGAGACAGACTGAGCGGGGTATAAAATGGACCGATCATAGTCTGGTGATGGCACGGGTTAGGCAATAACGGCGAACCCTCTTTAATAAATTCAGTAATCAGTAATCAG